AACCAAATTTTGAAATATACAGATAACAGATTGCCAAATTACACCAAAAACACCAGCAAAAGGCTGTTTTCTTAACAAAAAGATTGCATTTCATCGTCAAGCTTAAGTTAAGCCTACCAATTTTATGTGAGATAAGATAAAGCATAAATAAAATTGAATGAAATACCTGTTTATAGCTCGCTGATTCAAATATCCTCTTTGGCTAGCTTTGCTCACATTGTCTTTCTCGGGAAGAATAACACGTAGACTTGCACATCTTTGAACCAATAACCAAGTTTAGAAAAAATATCTCGAAAACATTTTAAAAATCGATTCAAATATCGAGAAAATACTACAAACCCGAGCAAAATTGCAAAAACCTAAAGTTTTTTAAAGAAAACCAGGGGGGGGTGGAAATTGTAGCGGGCTCAGATCCGAGCCTGGTCAGTGGTAATTACCATGAGAAATACGGACCAGTTGTCATGGAGATGGCGTCAGCAAAGGCCGAAATCCGCCATGTTTTTGGCTTCACTTTTTTTTCCCGTGCAGGTCCTCCAGTAATATAGTATAGCTCAGTGGACTAACTTTGAAAGAAAAAATGTCCAATTCCCATCGGCGGAAAATTGTGATTTTTATGGACTTTTTTGGTCAAAGCAATACTCCTTCATTTACCAACTAAATGACGCGTACAGCATGTCATTTGAAAGGTAAATAAATGAACTTAACAATGGTGTAAAAACCAACCGAATTTGTCAAATATATTCTGCGTTATTACCATAGAAATATTAGACATAGAATGCGTGCTCCTATCTCTTCTCAGTAAAAATTTTGTCTCCACAAAATGGCGGATTTATAAGGGCATTTTGGCTAGTCCCAGACTCCTGCGGCAAGGAATTTCGCGCGGTTGCCGGGAGTGCGAATTGTTTTTTTCAACAAAGTTTGCAAAAACAATTATATCGAGACTTGAAGTGGAAAAAAAGTGTTTTTAATGGAGAAAAACCCATTCCCGTGGGTTTTTTTACGAAAAGCTATAGTTCTGAACAGAATATATACAGAAATCGTCGTTTGAAAATACATTTTCAACGTTGTTGAGCAAGCCAAAACAAAACACGAAAAATCAAGACAAACTCAAACTCAATAGGTATGTTTTAAAAAATATATTTCAACTGTTTTATAATATAAATGGTGTTGAATAATCTTTTTAAACTTACACAACTACTTTTTATATTTTTCTATACGTTGCTTGAGCTTGAAGCAACGCTTTTGAAACTATGTTTTTGACGACCATTTAGGCGATTTACAGTTTTAATATCGACAACAAAATATTTTTTGTTTCAAAAACATGAAAATACTTCGTTTAGATTGAAGAAAAATGAAACCAGACGAAGAATGAACTATCATTTCGTAATTTCATAAAGTATTAGCAAAACAGTTTATACGTTCAGAGCAAGCAAAAATGTTTTATGAGTAAATTATATTTTATACGCGAAACTACACAAAAAACTATTTGTTTTTTATACAAGCTGCACGATTTTCATGGCCGTTTTGTAACGGCACATTTGCTTTGAGCCTTTAAGGAACTTACTATTTCAAATTATATCCCCAAACTACAAATACAAAACGTTTTGATGTTGAAAACTTTATAGTTTTAGCTTTGTTTATACTTTGTAGTTTGCACTCCTGCTCAAATTCAACATGGCGGATTTATAAGGGCATTTTTGTTTTCAATTTGGACACCGGTCACGTGACCAAGCACGCATTCTAGGTCTAATATTTCTATGGTTATTACACGCCAAATTTGGATTCGAATTATTTTGATACACACTGTAGAATGGCACATTACAAGCCTTTTAATTGAAAAAACTAACTAGGAAAATCAATTAAGCATAATTCAAAATCAGTGAACTCAATGTTTTTAACATTAGAAATGTTTAAAAATGTTAAAAACATTGAAATCACTGATCTTGAATTATGCTTAATTGATTTTCCTAGTTAATTTTTTCAATTAAAAGGCTTGTAATGCGCCATAAAAACCATCATTCAAAAGGTTGAACTGTGTCTTTAATCTTGATTTTGAAAATTACAATCTATATATATATATATATATATATATATATATATATATATATATATATATATATATATATATATGACCGTATATATATATGACCATCTGACCGTGTAGCTCAGTTGGTAGAGCGTCGATCTAGTAATTCGAAGGTCGCGGTAAAATTCGCAATGAAATAAACATTGTCGATTAGATTTTCATTCTTAAAGATGCCTCAGTTAACAAAAGACCAAAGAGTTTGGATTTGTATCGAATACGCTAGAACAAACAATGTTCGTGTCGGGGCGTGAAGTAATAAGGCGGTGGCCAGTAAGATGGCATGGTATTCCAGTGCCGAGTAAGGTAACCATAAAAGCAATGTTTGAGAAGTTCGTGCGAGAAGGCACTTGCCACAATCTTAACAAAGGAAGAAGCGGTCGATTAAGAACTGTCAGAACTCAGGAAAATATAGATGTGGTCCGACAGTCTCTCTTTGGCATTCTGCAATCGATTTGTCAACCAAAGAGCAAAGAGCCTGGGAACGAGGTTGTTTGTCAACACGGCAGGGCAGAATCCTGATTTCCTTGACCAGCTAATCGTATCCGACGAAGCAATTTTTAGCTTAAATTCTGAAATAAATTCAAGAAATGTCATAAAATACGCAGCAAAGGGGGACGGCCACCAGCCGGATCATTATGTTGAATTTTCTCAAGGCGCCGACCAAGTGATGGTATGGGTTGGATTGGCAAGAACAGGTGTTGTTTTGGGTCCACATTTTATCGAAAGAAATCTCGACAGCAGAGAATACTTGAGAATAATTGGCTATAACGTCATCCAAAGAGATTTTCTCATCCACAATATCGATAGGCATGATATGTGGTGGCAGCAAGACCGCGCTCCATGTCACACAAGCAACGCGACGATGCGGTATCTTCGAGGACAATTTCCCGGTCGAATAATGAGCAAACGCGGCGATTGGCCCTGGCCCCCACGCTCTCCTGATCTGGCAATTTGTGACTTTTTTCTTTGGGGCTATCTAAAGCAAACAATTTGGAACGTGCAGCTTGATCAGCAGCCAAGGAATCTTAGACAATTGCGTGAGGCAATCGTTTCTGCTCGCGAATCTTTGGATCAACAAATGATCCAAAACGCTTTTGATGGTATGATTTCTAGAGCACAACGGTACATTCAGGCTCAAGGACACGCTTTTCCTGATGAGTAAACTCATATTAGTTAATCCTTTCGGAGGTTAGTCCTTCAATTAATGCGTAAAGCCAGCTATTAGTCTGGCAATGTTGTATGTGAATGTTGTGGTTTCCCACGTTTACGATTCCACTCGTGTAACGTTATGTAGTGGTTTTTGAGTTGTTTTCAGACGAGTGTATACCAAACCGGGCAAGCAGAAAATTCTACTTGACCGCGGCTGGGATTCGAACCCGCGACCTTCGCATTTCTAGAACGATGCTCTACCGTCTGAGCTACAAGGTCAAGCTGAGAACGACTTGTTAAGTTATGATGTTAGTTGCATTTCGGAGGCTAGTCCTTCAATGCGTAAAGCCAGCTATTAGTCTGGCAATGTTGTATGTGAATGTTGTGGTTTCCCACGTTTACGATTCCACTCGTGCAACGTTATGTAGCGGTTTTTGAGTTGTTTTCAGACGAGTGTATACCAAACCGTGCAAGCAGAAAATTCTACTTGACCGTGGCTGAGATTCGAACCCGCGACCTTCGCATTTCTAGAACGTTGCTCTACCGTCTGAGCTACAGTACAAGGTCAAGCTGAGAACGACTTGTTAAGGTATGATGTTCGTTGCATTTCGGAGGTCAGTCCTTCAATGCGTAAAAGTATATATAAATATATATATATATATATATATATATATATATATATATATATATATATATATATATATATATATATATATATATATATATAAATATATATATAATATAAACCTTGAAACGGGCCAAACCCTACAGCCCTGCTTCTAATAGATGTAATCTCTGCCTGTGGGAAAAATACTTTATTATATGTAAACCTGAACTGGCTACTTTGAACAAACGTAACGAATTAGTGTCTTCATGCAGACATGCGAAAAAATTTCTTTTAGCTAACATTTAAAGGGCATGCACTCGAGACAGGCATATTTTTGTTTTAAATATACCGCGCAATCTTAATAGCTTGGCGTTATGCTGATGTGTTGTTAATACTTCCGCGTCCTGTCAATTTTATCAAGTAACAATATAATTGCTTTGCGTGCTTTGTAAATAGGATTAATTTAAAGCTTTCATCCACTTGTACATAAATACTGTAGGTTTTTTGCTGGGCATAAGGCTAATTTATCTGATGAGTGCCACATCTTGTGGTACAAAACTAATAGTAATAAAGATGCCTAGTGGAATTTGTTGAGTCGTTGCACTTATTTAATTATGCTCTGGATATCCATTGAGCACTCTGCCAAATGTTTTTGTAAACAACGAAACCTAATTCTATATATATATATATATATATATATATATATCTATATATATATATCTATCTATATATATATATATATATATATATATATATATATATATATATATATATATATATATATATATATATATATATATATATATATATATATATAAAATCCGTCTGACCGTGTAGCTCAGTTGGTTGAGCGTCGATCTAGTAATTCGAAGGTCGCGGGTTCAAGACCCAGCCGTGGCAGACAACATCTTTCTGCTTGCGCTGGGTATGGAAATTATATAATGCACACTCTAGAACATTTTCATCTTAACATATTACGGAGTGTACAATAACACATCTTAACATCGCTCGGAACGGCGCTCCACACTGTAATTGGTTCAGGGACCAGTCAAATACCCTTGACAAACATCCACAGCAGGTGATCTCAGAACTCGGAAAAGGCCTGGCACTAGTTGTAAATAGAAATCCATTTCTGGTTTAAAATTACTCAATATCTCATTAACGGTATTAGATTTCTATCTCAAATTTCCCTGTGCAAGACACGGACACAAAGTTTCAAACAGTTTCACAAAGGAAACAGGGCATGACAAGTGATTAAAGGTATGAAACTGGATTTCTATTCTGTTGGTAGTCCCAACTTGCCTTCGTCTTGTGTTTCGTGCGCTTTCGCAACATTCCCGCATGTTTGGATCAGGCCATCCAAACACGGAAACCATAAAGTAATTGTACAGTACCATACCACTAAGTCTATGGATGGTGGAAATACCATGTTGAGTCATGTGGTACACACTTTCTAATCCAATATTAAAGATTATTAGCTAGGTCACAGTCCAGAGGTCACAATCATATTATTATTTTATGGCTTTTATGTATTATTTATATCACGTAAATGACAAAGATCTTTAAGAAATTGATAGGACAATTAAACAGCCTTTTAATTAAATTTATTAAAAACATTTCACAGATTTCCTGATGAATATTGAATTATCATTCAAATACTCACTTCATCTAAAACTTGGAGACTTTTGACAGCGCCAACCACAGCTTGATGATCGAGTTTCCATTCGTTTGCTAATTCCAAAGTATCAACACTGCCCTTCGTGTCCAATATAGATAAAATCCTTCTGTCTAATGCTTCAGAACTCATAATATACACCTAAATTGTAAAACTACTAATAATTGTTGTTTTCAAGTTTCGGAGTGACTCATGTGTACACGAGTGATTTCCGCCGGTTTCCGATCTCAAGCCGACATCTGATTGCATCACTTTTCAGAATTTATCCAAAAAGGCTTCAAAAAAGACCAGACATAAAAATGCAGGAAATAGAAGGAAATAGTAATACAAATTTCGAAAAGTGCCGAAAACAAAGGGGAATTTTTGGAAAAACATGGCTGGACTGGACTCGGAAACTCATGGACTCAGTCAGCGACTTGGTGAGTGAGTCCATGTTTTCGAGTCCAGTCCATGTTTGCAACATGACTGATTTGCATATTTGCAATGACAACAATCAAAATGGCTGATGTTGTGAAAGCAATTTATACTTCAATTGCAAAACAAAGTGACCAATCGCGAGAAACGTATGTTGAAGGCGTAGGGAATGAAGTATTAATAGGTATTGGAGCTTCTCTTGCAATTTTTATTCCTGTAGTTATCTCCGTTCTTGTAAAACGATCGTATGGCGTGCGTATACATCCTGATGAAGCAGAGAATGTACAAGCGGCTAGAGAGACGCTTGGTGTTGGTGGAAATACTGGAAATAATGAAAGAACTCCAGTAACTCCTCCCAGGAACATTAATGATGGTGAACCCTGTCCTATATGTTTAATGCCACCCCACTATTTGCTTATAACTAACTGTGGACATGGCTTTTGTGGTGAGTTTAGTATATATTAAGCCTAAATAACCCTTCTCCTCACTACAATGAGTACAATGCAATCATAAGATAAGCAAGTAAAACACTTAAGCCCCGTTTACACTACGCTCAATTTTTGGTACTGTACTACTTTTTTGGTTCTTGGACTACCTAAATATAACCAAAAAAGTGGTATGGGTACCAATTTTATCCGTACCATACCATAAATTGAGCGTAGTGTAAATGGGCTTTAGGCATTGCTTGTGTTACTCTCACTGTGTCCCCTCTACAATGCAAGCATACAGGACGCAACATTTTGATATCCATATGCTATTGCTATATGCTTGTATATCGATGTGAAGATTCAACATTTATTATACTGTCAGTAACAAATCAATATGTGGTGAGGACAGGGCCTTTTTAAAGGATATTCCCAGGTGTGTGTGTGGGGGGGGGGGGGGGTTTGAAAAGGAACCTTTCTGTGAGATAATGTATTAGAGGGGGATAGCAATGGCCGAAGACCACATTTGTGGCCGACATACCACACATGAATAGGGCATTCTGAGCATCCAAAATTGCTCTAAAATTTATGCTAACTATACTTGTATTTGAAATAAAAGCAGGAAAAACACACAAAAAATTAAAAAAATTATTAACTTACAATAATTTATCATCACTTACATGTAGTGTTAGAAAAACGTAACAATTTAAGTCGATTTTATTAAACAAGGACAAAGCCTAAAACTTACTTTCCATTTATCTATTTGTTATTCTTCGCTTGTTTGTTTGTATAAATGTGAGGGAGGGGGAAATGTGATTTCAAAATGTGATTTTGTGGGGGGTTGTATGTTAAAAAAGGCCCTGGAATTATTACTGATGCAACTCAGGTAGGATTTCAATCAGACAATAAACTCTTTACTCTCTGCTTGCTGGCAATGAAAACTTTCATGAATTTTCAATGGATTACAATTGATTTCAAGCAATGGCAGGGCTCGAAATAACGTTCGCAACGTTCCCGATCATGGTGATCGGCAATCACGACTTTTTGCCGATCAAACAAAAATATGGCCGATCAGGAGGATTTGCCTGATATTACTTGAAAAAAAATCTAAATATATGCCAGCACTATAAATACACATTTGAACAGGAAGTTTAACTTTTTTTAAAATTTTTTATTGAAGTTTGAATTAAATCTGCAATATTTGTAGACTTATGTGTACGACAGATTGCTATAGAGTATAGTCATTCGCTGTCTTCCTCGCTTGTGTCGACCCCTACGTCAATAAGCGTTTCGGCAATCTTCTTTTTTTCTCTTGCTTTGTAAGACCTATAAGACTGGTTTGGCCTGCGTACTGTGCAAGTGCCTCTCATCCAAAGGTCGATGGCTGTGGTTAGGATGAAGTCATTTGTTGGCGGCCCTTCAGTAACGATACGAAGTAAGCTGTTGAGACGATGTTCTTTGAGTGATGCCCTGGTGTCAGTTTTCACACGTTTCATTAATGAAAAGAACGCCTCCACTTTAGCGTTAGACACCGGAAGAACGAATAACAGCTCAATAAGAGTTAAAATAGCATTCCACTCCTTAGATCTGCTACAGTTAAATAGCTGATGCCACACAACCCTGTAGTCAACTCTTTCCGGGGACAAGTAAGCAAGCGCGTGCTCTAAAAGGTTGTGCCATTGGTCGAGAAGCTCTCCAACTGTTCCGCTAAAACATGCTCTTTCCAAGGGTATGCGATATCTCTCATAGAGTCTCTCCACATCTTGATCGAAGATCTCAACAGCATCATCTTTCGCTTTCACCCAGCCAGCCGTGTTAAGAAGTGCGGCTAATTCGCCTCTTTCGTCCTCAGTATCTTCTTCGAGGCGTTGTTCAATTGCATTTTTGACACGCTCTACGAGGTCGTCTTTCACTTTCGCAGTTGTCTCAACCGCTCTTTCGTATCCTCGGATTACAACGTCGTGAAGGAGATACTTTCCATCTCGCTCTTGAATTTTCTGGAGCAACCTTTTAACCGTCGGCAGCTCCTTTCGAGAAATTCGATGTAACTGGCGTTTGGTTTTCTCAACGTTTTCGATGCTTGCAACCACATCAATGTCCTCCGCCTGGAAAGATTTGGACAGACATTTTGCCGGTGCTAAAACTTCGATAAAAAGAGCGATGAGCAAAGGTATCTTGGCTTTTGACCATTTTTTTAGCCAACCTTTACGTTTGGCACGATCATCTGCAGGGAAACTGTTGTCTTCTGATATATTCTCCAAATGTTGAAGATATATGCCATATTTGTCCAAAATAACGTCGAGAGCAGCAACTTTGTGTGCAATCCAGCGTGTGCCTGCAAGAAAAATTTCATACATTATAACATATCATACAAATTACTGTAAAACTGAATTACTGATAAAAATCTTGAATGATGTTGGCTTTCTTATATTGGAGTATAACATAACTTGTCAAAAATAACTGAAAGATTACTGTAATATACCTGATGCTTTCTTGGGACGGTAACCGCCTGTTTCAAACTCGTCACCCTCATCGTATATATCTACAAGCAGTTTAAGTTGCCTTAATTTCTTCGGTGCTTGCTTATACAGATAGTGCATACGCAAAATCACCTCATCAATTTCGTTGAACACGGTCCCTTGCAAACTATCCTTCAGTGACAATTCAAGGCGGTGTGCAACGCACCAACCAAAATTCAACCATGGGTTTTCTCTTCTTAAAATTGCCTTTACACCTTCTTTGTTACCTTTATTCACATTTGCCGCATCGGCTCCAAAACCAACTAATTTATGGAATAAATCATCAATTGACACTGCTTTGAAGCTTTCTTTAATACTTTCTACTATCCCGGTTGCTCCAGCAGTTTGTAGGAAGTTAAGCTTGAGGAAACTTACAACAACTTTGACTTTGTCACATCCCGGAGGATCCGGATCGAAATGAACCACAAACACAGCTTCATTTTCAGACGTAGCCGCATCAGTAGAGCCATCTGTTAAGACACTGTAAAAGTGAACTTTAGCTAGTTTCTGTTTTAATTCCTCCGCAATACTTAACAATTATTCGCCGAAGGCGAGGTGATTATCGGTGAATAAAAACCGAGACGAAGTCGAGGTTTTTATTCACGATAATCACCGAGCCTGAGGTGAATAATTGTTTTAGTATAATTTCATAGGTGATTATTTGGGAAAAAATAAGAAAATACACATTTCTTCGTCATTTAATTGACAAAAAGGCTTCGGCCGCCATTTTGAAAATCGCTTAGGTGATTATCGCGTAATAATCACCTCAATGGCAACCAATCAGCGTGGAGAATTTTCAATAATCACCTATGTAATTATACTAATTTCACTTATGTAATCCATAAACACTCCCCCAGAGTTGTTGTTACGGTATGCTGTACCAATATCAACTCCAAGTCTCTCTTCAAGGTCCAACATTGTACTATACTTCACAATAGGCAATTCCTCTTTCGCGATGTAGTATGCGATTTGAAATTTCTTCTTCGTTCTTTCTAAGTCTTGTTCATTAAGTGTCGCGAGGGCAGACAAAAAGCTTCCTTGCTTTTGCGAGTCAAGGACACCCTGCATGGCTTTAGAACGCTCGGATACGTTCATACCTTTTTGTTTCATAACCAGAATCATTGCCTGTTTATGGGGTTCACTGGTGGCATGATCTGTTGCGCTTGACAACATAAGTCGCGTGCATTTTTCATCCGATGACCACTGTGGAGAAAAACCCTTGACACCTGAAATTTGTGTATAATATCTTGTGCATGCACTGCATTTCAATGCTTTTACTTGGTTTGCATCAGTGTCTTTTAAAAAAAGCAGCCAGTCCTCTGCATTATATACTGCTAGTTGCGTGGTTTTCCATTTTTCTGCGGTTGATAAGTGCAAAACTCTCTTGCTAACCTTGGCAGCGGTTGCAGGTTTTTCAGTCGTGCAGACGTCCTTTGAACTTATGGCTGCCCCACCAAAATAGGAGGAAATATCAATTTGTTTCCTTTTGCTCATATCTCATTAAGACATTATGTCATAACTTTTTCTGTTTTTCCAGAATCGGAAACTAGTTTAAATTATCACAATTGATCTTAATTAAAGTACCTGAAAAAACCCCAAAAACTCACATAAGTCTAATAAGCATTATAATATTACACTAACGTATAACTTAGTATAGATCCTACGTCTACGACTTCTAAAGCGGGCAAAATAACCATTAACCAATCTTTTACTATTATTTAGTCACAAACTGAAACAATTTCTACAAAGTATTTAAGGTGACCTAACATAATCATTGAACGATAAACCCAATCTTGATACAGATACTAATAGATAACATTGTAAGTCAGTAATGACGGCCATCTTGATATACAATACTAATGTAATGACTGCCATCAATATATACAATGCTAATAGTGTGACGACATTTACTGTAATATGTACTTTAGTTTATTATAACACTTTTCAAGTTTTATTGTTTTAATTATAGTTATTGCATTTTTAACACAAAAGCGAAAAAACACTGTCACAGCACTGAGCAGCACTATCAATCAAGAACTAAAACTTATTATTTAATATTAATAATAAAAAATCCTACTCAAAAAATATAATCCTATTAAATCCTACTCACCTGCATCATTATCATAACAAAAACGTTCGCGGTCAGCGGTTCGTATTGCAGACTGTTGAAGAGACGACAATACTTCATACAGATTTGTTTTATAGTAAATTACTTTAGCGAGAATAGTATTGCCGCCTCTCCTGTCGTATCAACTAAACAAGAGTTTTCGCGTGTTTTTGAATGTTTTTATATTACTTTTATTTGCCTTCTGCCGCGTACAGGTAAGCATGTCTTTCAGACAATGGTCAAATATATTTCTTGCCGATCAAGATGAACGGCAACCTTGCTTCTTCGCCGATCAAAAACAATTTCCTGCCGATCTTTGATCGTTGATCGGCCGTTATTTCGAGCCCTGCAATAGTTTTGTATCAGGAAAATTCAGGAAGTGTGTATTTATGATTTTGGTGTTAAAACAAGATCCAGTGTGTGGTACAATAAGTGGGCTTGTTCTGCTCATGTGTTTGCACATAACACTTTTTCACAGTTTGCAATGCCATCTTGCAAAGTTCTACCTACTCTCACATCCTTTTTGAAATGTTTCAAATGCCTCAGCGAGGAATCTTATCCTACTTCACAATTGATGGAATGCGACCATTTCTGGATAAGGGAAGGCTTGGAGACCATTTCTAGGTGGGACTTGGGGAGTTTAGTTGGTGTGACTTGGGGACCATTAATTAGTAGGTGTGACTTGGGGACCATTAATTAGTAGGTGTGACTTGGGGACCATTAATTTGTAGGTGTGACTTGGGGACCATTAATTAGTAGGTGTGACTTGGGGACCATTAATTAGTAGGTGTGACTTGGAGACCATTGGTAGGTGGGAATTGGGGACCATTAGCAGGTGGGACAGGGACATGACGGACAGTTGGTAGGTGGGACTTGGGGACCATTAGTAGATGGGACTTGGGGGAAGGTTAGCAGGTGGGACTTGAGGGCCGTTAGTAGGTGGGACTTTGGAACCGTTAGTAGGTGGGACTTGCCACTTGGGGACCATTAGTAGGAAGAACCGCTCCTAGACCAACATCAGAAGTGTCTGTTTGCAATACAAATTCTTGGTCAAAATCTGGGTAACATAGTATTGGTATGGAGCAAAGTAATTGTTTAAAGTTGTTCAAAGGCCGCAGTAAATTCATCAGTCCAAACGAAATTATTGCTGTACTCCTATGAAGTGAGTTTCGGTTAAAGGTTGAGCAACAGTAGCGTAATTAGGTATGAATCGCTGATAATTTCTGTGAGATAATATATTAGAGTGGGATAGCAATGGCCGAAGGCCACGTGTGTGGCCGACATAAGACATACCACACATACAACATACTCACCCAGAAAATATTTGAAATGTGAAGCCCGGAAATGCCATTTCCTGCATTCTAAGCATCCAAATTTGCTCTAAAATTGATGCTAACTATTCTTGTATTTGAAATAAAAGAAGGAAAAAACGCACAAAAAAATTATTAACAATAATTTATCATTACATAGTGTTAGAAAAACGTAACAATTTAAGTCGATTTTGTTAAACAAGGACAAAGGATGAAGCCTAAAACTTACTTTCCGTTTATCTAATTATTTTTTGCTTGTTTGTTTGTATAAATTTAGGAAAAATGGACTTTTCCTGGGGCGGGGGCAAAATGTGGCAAAATTTCTTTGTTTTTTTTAATGGTAAATATTTTGGTATTTTAACGGTAAATCTTCGAATATATATGATCAGATTATTTTCCTCACCAAACCAAGTGGCCCCTTAATTAAAGGATT